CTTTCAAACTGTTTTTGTCCCAGTAATTTTCAGGTTTTGCAGCAGTGGTGTTGAAATCATCCCATAACTTTGTGAGCTCACCCAAGGGAAATGTATTTCCCTGTTCTTCATCAAAAGAAGCAGTTAATTTTCCAGTTTGGATTGCTATGAAGTCCTTTTCAACTTTCCACACATCATCTACCCATTTGTCTGAGTGAGCAGTGTCCAGAAACAAAAGAAGCCTTGCTCCTGTTGATGAGTTTTTGTTTCTCCACCACTTCAAGATTGTTTCAAATGAAAGTGTTTTATTTTCCGTAAGAGCCCAATCCCCATCACTGGTCACATGTCCACTGTAATAAAGAATGTAAGTGTCATAGTGTAAGCCTGGAAGGATGCGTTGCTCAAAAAATGAAGTGATTTTCTTTTCAATATAGTCAGCTGAAATCCCACTTGTTGAAAAGTCTGTTCCAAAGTTGTGAATCATGTGACCAGAAAAGAATCTGGACACAATATTTATCAGTTCCATTGCTTTAGTATTGACTGCCTGGAAGGCATTTTCTACAAGAACAACAACATTACCACTTGAGCTGTACTTGTGCGCAGGTGCAACCACAGCATAACCAATGGCTGTTCCTCCCACAGACTTCCCAAGCTTTGTGAGGATATCATACACAAGCAGTTCAACAGGAAGAATGATCAACAACATGCCAATGAATACTGGGTTTGTTTCCTGCCATGCTGATGCTATGATGAGAGATGTTGACGACAGTGTGTATAGCGTGACCATCTGTGACACCAAACAGAAGTGGCGGACACCTTTAGATGCCATTACCTCTGACATGTTATTGTCACTAAGCTCTCCCCTTGCATTCACCATGCTTGTGCATTCTTCTAGTTTTCCAACGAAACCCCAGCAAGTTACAATAAACATAAAATGAAACACCACCCATGGTACGGACAAAAATACAAATATTGGTAGTCTGTAGACTGGAAGTTCAGGATCTTTAATAAGCTGAGAACTAAACATGTAAAACAGTGCTTCTAGAACAGTCACAGCAAGAATCTGCAATCTATGAATGCATCTACTTTGGAAGATAAACTTTTTCCATGTTTCCAAAAGGGACAGTCTAGAGAAATAAATATCAACCAGTGATTCGAAGGAAAGGTAGATGATAAAAGCTGATAAAATATATGGATTGTAGTTGACCTCACTTGCTGGAAAGTAATACGCACCACCGAAAAAGCAGAGCAAGGCAGCACTCAGAAGAGAAACACTTGATTTCATGTGAAAGGCCATTAAATGCATCATAACTGCAGAAATGATTGTCAGCATGCTACCAAAATACATTGTTCCAGTTGAACCTGAAAGGAATCCAAGGAGAAGCAAGAACTCTTCAGTAGTCATGAATTTCGATTCATACGTTGGAGAGGTGCATATCCTTTCAGATAAAATCCTGAAGCAATGTACTCCAGTGCTGGTCATTATGAGAATGTCTGTCGAGTCTAAATCATGCAGTGAGTCTATCAAATGGTCGAATGCAATCTCTGTGAAGGACATCACGCTGAAAAGAAAGCCTATCCACAGATGACAGAATCCTCGAGCAAAATCTCGGTAACCGTACAGATAGGCAACTAAAGAAAACAACACAGCAATGGCGACAGCGATGGCTAAAAAGTGAATGCTTCCATCCGTTGTATGATGCAACCAGCGTTCCCTGATCCCATTGGCGGCTCCGGCGAAGAAAAGAAGAAGGCATAGAGCGGAGGAATATTTGGCGAGCTTGCTTGAAAGTTTCGGCAGCATGCCCATCAGATGAAATTGAAAGAGTCACACCTGCAAGAGTTTCTAAATACTCCACTGTTTTAATTTTCTCACGGAGGATTCTTGTAGAATAACTACCCTCCACCTAGCTACGAGAGCTCAAGCCTGTAAGTTCCTCTCTCGGTGTTAAGCTAAACGAGGGCTGGAAAGTGTCATAACATTGCCAATCATTTTAGCAGTCTTTTGACACGTCGCACATCCGCCATTTTGGTTATTTTGACATGTCTGCGCGCGTACCACTTGGGTTCGACTGCTGAAATACAGGCTCAAGGTCCAAGATGGCGGACGATGCGAGAAATGTTGATCAACAAAAACTCTCAGATATTGTGAAGGGATTACACAGTAGACTAAGGAAACAGTTGAGAAAAGGTGAAAATGTAATACTTAAAGCTGACTTGTGTTAAAATTTGATAAGTTATCCCTAAAGGGAACTAGTAGATTCAACACAATTAAGGCAACTGTTGTTAGCATTACCTCAAGTTTTAATGTTTATTATTATGTTTCAGTTCCTTGTTTTAACTATTGTCTTTTTCCTGTTCTTGACAAAGCTAATGGTGACTACCAAAAAGTGTGGGACGAACACTGTGCAGACAAGGCGAGATTAGAGGAATATGCTTCAGCTATGCACATGTTAGCTGTCAATCACTGGACAAAGCAGGCCCCTGAGGGGAGGGTTGAGTGGTGTTATCAGACTGCAACTGAATTCTTTAGAGGGGGAGGACTGAGGAAGCTCATGGAGAAGCAAAAGAGGAAACAACAGTTTCATGAAGATTTGAAAGAGTGTTGCTGTTGTTTTGTGACAGATGATACTGATAGATGTTCTGTGTCAATGTAAGTAAATTTATGTTGTTTTTTGGGTAGTCTGGACAAACTTTCTTTAGTACATTTCATTGAAATGATTGATTTCAGACAGATTTTTTGCTTAAAGGGGTTAAATTTCCAGAGAAATGATGATTTTTTGTCTGTTTTTTACAAAATGGAGACTTGTTTTGTATTAACAGTTGAGAGTTAAGCTGTGATGTGATAGCACCTTGCTCAGGATGGCAGGGTGTCAGTATAAAAGGTTTAGGAGACATTTTACTCCAGAAGCAGTAGTTTTCATCTTGGCTAAGGATAAAAATTGTACAGTCAGTATCACAGGAAATGTATAGAGTAGAGTGGGGAGACAGGGTTGTAGATAAGAGCTGGCAGCCAGTAAAGTACACCAGCTTCTCTGCAAGGTTCCGCTGGCTACTTTCATTGCTTCGAGAGCCTGTACAGAGATGATGTTTATCAGGTCTAAACTTGGGCTCAATAAAAAAATATAAATTTGCACTGCCTGTCTTTTCTGAAAACATAAAAAGACTTCTGACTCAAGGTTAGTTTAAAAATGTTCTGATGGGGGCTGTCTTTCTGACAAATCTTGCTGCGGTGGCAGGAAAGTAAGAACAATATGACGTTTTGTCCACCATATTGGATTTCGAGACCCACAACCGTTTACCTTTAAAAAAGCTCCGGCTACTTAAAATCTTAAAGAAAACCCTAAGGAGAATATGGATCCTGATGTTAAGGTGTATGTGGTTAATAACATACAAATTTGTATGGGATGCAAATGACTTCAATGAGTAGCAACCCAGGAATAAGGTTGAACAAATAGACTGTTATAAAACTATAAAAGAGAGGTTTGATTTAAATTCCTCAAAGTGTAGTCTTTTTTTGTTATACGATTATGATTTGTCACCAGATATCCTTCAGCCCATGAAAAATTACTTCTCCTTGATGTTGGAAGTTGTTTCAATCCATTTGCTGTTTATGAAGATGTTTTTTCTATAGCTATTGACTTGCAACCGGCAGATTCAGTGAGTAACATGTTATTTTTTAAAGTGATGTTTTTTGTATTATCACTTACGTGGGACAGAGAAAAAATTCTGAGTTCCCATGAGGAATCGAACCTCAGACCTTTGGATTCTGCACTCTGATGCTCTACCACTGAGCCACAGAGACTTTATGGTGAGCAAGGTCTATTACAAAATTCATATGACATGTGTCCTGCACACTGTTAGGATCAGCAATGTCAATAGCATCATGTTTATAAATGGAATGAGAGAGATGGTAAGTTTTGAGCTTAAGCATCTTTCTATATTTCTTTACCAAGCTCAAAAATGACCATCTCTCTTATTCTATCATTTTATATTTTTCTTTTGGTTTAAATTTTGAAGTTGCATTTCCATTTGATGACACTAGTATTGTACAAATTTTCTTAATCTACTGGTATAAAAACTAGAAGTGGCTCAAAAAGGTAGTGTTTCAAATCTAAGTTTTTTCTAGGGGCAGGTAAATTTCACTTGGCACTTAGACTTTTTTCTTTCCCACACTGATGATATATCATTTAACCCTTTTCAAAATATACATTTTTTACAAAATTTAAAAATTTAAAATGTATTCCTTGTGTTTGGTATTTCACAGATAGTTTACCAATGTGACTTTCTCAATCTGGAAATTCAAGATTTGCCTCCCACAAGAAAAAAAAAATGTGCTTGTGGTGTCTGTATTAAAATGAAAGACAATGACTTGGAAGTACAATGCTCCACAAGGGATCACTTTGAATTGAATGATGTGCACATGAAAGGTTCTGGAAGGGAAAGCACTGAAAGTTTACTTCAATCTGATAAACTGAAAGTAAACTATGACAGTGCATACTCAGTGAGAGATTATCTTAAAGAGAAAGCTGAAATATTGCTTTTAAAAAGCTATTTAAAAGAAGGAAAACAAGTAAAGACTCTTCCTTCAGAACTGTTTCACATTGTTGTGTTCTCTCTTCTCCTGTCATATTTCCCTTCTGCTGCTCAAAGATGGACTTGTTGTCACAAAGCACATCGACTGTTGCGACCAAATGGGCTTCTTCTCATTATCACACCAGACTCAAGCCATCAAAACAAGAACGCAGCTATGATGAAATCTTGGAAGACTGGGGTTGAGTCGTTAGGATTTGTTCGATGGAAGTATGAGAAACACACTCATCTTCATTGTATGGCTTTTCGTAAGGTGGCACCATGCCATTACTGTAACCGTGACAATGGCCATGCAGAAATGATGTACATTCCGCAAGATTTCCAAGAAGAAGATGAGAGTTATTTGGGTTGTTCACAAAATGAAGAGAACGAGTCCGTCGTAATGGAGTATTTAAGTGAGCTTCCAGACTTATGAAAGAAACAACAACAACAACAACAAAGACAGCAACAAAAACAAAATAAAACAAAGGTGTTAAAATTGTTATTACTCGCGTTGTTTATGTTTACTTGATCATTTGATTATTAACAATTTTCTCCCATTAGTATCACCCTTAAAACAAACATTGAGTTCATGAGAATTAAGGAAATGGTCACCAACTAAGGACGCTCTTGATTGTTAAACAAATTCTCCTCGTCAGTGCCATAGGAAATATATAGAACAGTAAGGAGAAAATGTATACTGATGTTAGGATGTAAAAGGCTAAATTATGGTTTGTTTGCATATTGCGGCCGGGCAGTTCGGAACTAATTAGATTTTGTTGGCGAGCAGAAACCGAGAAATGCTCAACACAGATATTAAAAAAAACAGAGTAATGCACAATCGTCTAGTTGAAGTTGCAAGGCTTTTTGTCTACGATCACATTTGTGCCATCTCTTTTTTATAATTGCTGTATATGTTTCTTTTTAATCCAAAATATTTCTCACACGAGAATCAACTTTAGTTCTCTATCTGTTTTGCATTAAGCGGGCGATGCCCGTCCAGACGTTTCCGTTTTGCTTTGTTTAAAAATGGAGACCTCTCTTGCCCAAGGGGACAATATTGTGACATGAAACATATTGTGCAAGATTTTATTTACTGAAACTCAAAATACAAAAGTTTATATATTGCCAGCCAGCTTCAGTAAAAATAAAAAGTTGAAAAGAAAGACATATGCGTTCCTTTTTTTTTTTTTCGTTTTCCGTTTCCCGATCAAAAAACAAAAATTTGCGCCTCTTGAAAGCATTTTTCATCCTCCCAAAATGGAAGATATCAGTTACGTTGAGCGTTCGTAGACATTTGGATTAAATCAGGTTACAATTAAAGATTAAGTTTGTTGAGCAGAACAAACTTGAAAACGTCAGGAAGAGAAGGTTAAGTTGAATACGTTTCCGATTTCCTTCACTAAACTCGTACGTATAATAATCATCATCATCATACTCGTAATAAAATGGTTCGTGTTCATGATGTTCACTTCGTTTTTTCCTCCGTTTCGCCATCATATATTCGGCTCTGGGTAAAAATGTCCGTGAGCGATCCTTCAGGACCGCGACTGCAAGCATCGCTTTTGTGGGCTCCAGTTCACTTTTTGCGGGAGAATTGATGAAAGCGACGAGTATCTCTGCCACCTGCTTGCATGCGTCCAAATCCTGTGTTTTGATTGGTTTAAACACCACTGAGATGTCGTGGGTGTCCACGAGATCTGCGGTCAGCTGGCACTTGTCAAACCCACCAAACCGGTCAGACAGATTTTTCAGCTCGAGAAAGATGGGGTCGACCCGGTTGAGATCTTTTAGTGGTTGTACTTTGTCGTTCACGGCCATATCCCGCACTGCAGTATCCAGTCGAATGCTCACAGCAGTTCCTACAAGGAAAAAAAATAACCACTCATACGGATTTAATCGCCAGTGGAGATACAATGCCGCATTTTTTAACATGTCTGTTTTGCATTTTTATCGCCTGCACGGCACTACAGATTTAGTGGTATTCTTACTGCGAAGCGCTTTATTCGATTTGAGCGTTGGAAAATTAAAACTAAAGTAACCACGATGGCCAGTCATCACAACACGACCAAACGGCTTTTCAGAAGGTGCTCAATAAAAGTGAAAAAAAAAACAAACTGTCTGGAGTGCTTAGAAATGGAGGTAACCAAATTCCTATTGGTTGAACGATTGTTTTACAACCGATTAGTCTTGAAGGTGTGAGTTAATCGTCTTTTCAACATTTTATATGTTAAACTGGTCTGTGGTCTGAAGGTGTGTAATTGTAACGATATGTTCTTTTCTTAATCACCTAATGATATGTTGTTGACCTATTTATTTAGCAGTTAGCTTTTTTGACGTGAATAAGTGTTATCTTCCTATGTTTGACGCACGTACGCATTTGATTGGCTAAGGTTTTCTGTGATTGATTTTGAAAATCGTGCAACCTTCCTAAGCCAATAAGATGCCGAACGAAATTCAACTGCGATTTGGGCACACGCGTTTTCCCGCCTTTATTGCCATGCACTTGCCTTGGCCCGTGTTTGGTTGATTATGCTACAAACTCTCATTTCGATTGGTTTTCGTAAATTATTTGTATTTATCTTTTGACCTCCAATTGTTACCAGTCTTAGAGGAACCAAGAAAAACCATTTAAACTTTGATATAACTCTCACCGCACACGGGACAACAGCTTCCTTCAGGAATGACATAATTCTGACAGTCCACTGGAGCACATTTACCAATTACCTCAACAGTTTTACAACGGGGATTCACATATTCATGGAAAGGTTTCTTGTTGAAATCGATGTTGTACTTCGGATCAACGTCGTCACACATTCCAGGGTAATCTACGTAGTTGTTGTGGACAGAAGCGTGACAGATGCTCTTGAAGGTCACGCCATTCACACCGCACATCTGGGAAGAAAAGAACGGAAAGATCATTAAAAGCTCTGTGATTGGTCGAGAGGACCTGCGTCATTCTTTTAATAAATCAGCAGCAAGACTTAACCATTTGTGCCTTCTAAATATTAGATAGCAAGCGTGATATAGAAGCATGATTTGTGCAACTTGTAACATGCACAAGCGCAGAAAGGTATTCTCTTTAAAACCAACATACCTTCTCGTCATCCACATAACACTCCAATTTACACTGTCCGTAATAAGCCAGAGAAATACCACTGGTGAACATAGTGCACCTGTTCGTATAAGTCTTTTGGTCCTCACCACATATGACTTCCTTCGGTGCTGCGCTGCAGTTCACTCTGGTAGAGACTGGAAACAGCAGGAAAATGTTGCAAGACTTTTCATATAATAACAATAATAATAATAATTATTATTATTAATTATCATTTGTCTACTGAAGGCATAATAATAATAATTTCATATTCATATAACAATAATAATATTTACATTTTCATATTCAAAAGTAACCTCTCTGCATTGAGACGAAAATTGCCAAATTTCAAAGTTTAAGTCAGAAATATAATTTGATACCATAAAGAAAATGAATTCTCTGCTTTATTGGAACTTTTCTTTATTTTGTTTTTTGTTATCTTTACAGATTGGTATGAACGTTTCAATTATTTTCATAAAGATTGCGTTACACCGGTGTTTAAACATTTTCCCTTGGAAGGTTTTTGCGGGAAATCGGCGCTCGGCTTGCGCATGCTTCGCGGCCGGCATTATAACTCGAATTGGAACCAATCAGAGGGCAGATAGAAAATAGATGCTAAATACAATATATATATATATATAGATAGATAGATAGATAGATAGATAGATAGATAGATAGATAGATAGATATTTATTTATTTATTTATTTATCATGAAAATAACAGAATTTCTTACCACACTGATGTTGTGGGCATTCGATACTGTTGCCGTCTCTGTCGGTATTCGTTAGACAAGGACCTCTTTTGTCAGCGACACAAATCTGATGCTCTCCGCACTTGACGTCAATGCAAGCGAACTGTAAGAAAGAATTTAGCTTCGGGTAAAGTTTTGCTTTGATTTGTCTGCTGAAGGCATGCATTAGACCGAGAGAGTCTCAATCTATCTTGGTCTGATATAAGTTATGCAACAAAATTTTCGTCTTCATCTCCTCAATCGAAACCAGTTTTTACTATCCAACTGCACAAAGTAGAATACAAATAACGCGCGAATAGAGTGCAAATATCCTGCGATATTGCACGGTAATTTGGTTATTTTGCACTGTTTGGTTCCTTTGTACTGTAAAAAAAGCTGTTTAACCAGTCGGCTCCGCGCTCTACGCATCTCTATCTGCTTTGCTTTTCCCTCCTCAAGAGAAATGGGCAGAAAAGCTTAGCAGAAAAAAAAGCCATTGGATAATAATTGACTAATTAGGCGTTTTGGTGTGTAGTATTGCTGAGTATTTTTACTCGTTGTTTGTATTTCGACTCGCCTTACGGGCTCGTAAAAATAAGGCACAGCTCGTAAAAATACTCAGCCATACCACACACCAAAACGTCTAATAGGATACATTTACTATCCAAATAAACAAAGTAGATCGCGCGAAAAGAGTACAAATGTCCCATGATATTGTACAGTTGGTTAATTTTTGCTGTAAAAAAAACCTTTTTAACCGGTCGGCTGCCCGTGCAACACTTCTTTATCCGCTGTTTTTTTTCCCGCCTTATACGAAATGAGCAGAAACACTTAGCAGGAAAAGCAGTTGGATAATAAATAACTTAATGGACGTTTTGGTTTGTAGCATTGATTGGTATTTTCACGACTTTCTGTTGACAAGAAAAAAGTAATGTTTATTAGAAAAATGTGTGCTTGTTGACAGCAGCTCAGATAAGTCTTAGCGCATTTTATTGAAGACTTCAAAACTCGATAGACTTTGCCTAAGTTCTGGAAAGAATGCAGACATACTTTTTACACCAGATAACTAAGGCTCAGTTTGAAAACGACCGCTAACCCCCCTACACCACAAAGCACTTACCAAGCCTCCACACTTTCCTCCTTTCACATCATCCACTGTAAACCCGCCGCATCTTAGAGCATGGCACATTGAACGGTACGTTTTCCAGTTGGGTCCACAGACAGGTGCTACAGGTTCATCATCGCATTCCATACACGGGTCCTTGCCTCTGACGAGCCTTTCATTCATCATCGCTTTTTGAGGGTCCCCTGGGGTGTATTGTTTACCAAAAAGCATCTGGTAATTGGTGTAGTTGTAATTCGAGGAAAAACACCGAAGACGCGTACACAGCAACTCTCCTGAAAAGTGAAACAGTTGAACAGTAATTTCGTGGAAAATTGGGGGAAACTTTTTTGTGGAGGTGGGGGGTGGGGAAGGGGGATGTTAACACGCTAGCCTCTAACTGGCATTTGGGGGCATGACAGGTTGTTTCACTAATCATTTTGACCTAGGATCCCTTGCGCCCTAGCAGTGTATATCTTTAGTAACGCCCATGCACATAGGGGGTATCCTTGGTAAAAAGATTCGAGAGGAAAAGTTGTTGACTAGGCCCCAGCATTTTTTTACTCAGGTCACGAAGGAGCCAGTTGCTTTGTACCCCATCAAAGGGGGATGGGGGTGGGGGGTGGGGTAAGTCGGTGCTTAACCCATCTTCCTGTCACTATTATTAGTCCAAGAGAGCGAGCATGCGCATAACTTTCTTGACCCTTAACCGTTTTACTTAGTCTCTCTTCAACAATTGTCAAATTTCAATTGTAAAAAATTTCTTTGGAGCCGTGTGTTAAAAATTTTCACAGTTTTCAGGTTGACAACTTCAACTTAATGAAGGGTGGATACGTCACTTTTTCATATCTAAGTCTCTTCATCACCGACCATTTCGACATATGCAGTTATTGCAGCCATCAGAATGCCTTTCTCCGTCTGTCAGTTGTCCATTCGCCATAGTGCAAGGCTTTCTGGGGTGCTCATCACAATTATCCGGCTTACGGTTGCAGACGAACTGACCCAGCTTACAGTGGCATAGGCGGCATTCAGCTCTGATGTAGATAATTGTATTTTCTTTTATCGCATCGAGGAGAAGAGGATGAATACAATCGATGGGAAGCGCTAAAGGAGAATTGAAATTATGATCAGCACAGAATTGGGGTGTAAAGGTCATAAGGTCTTGGAGAGTCGGAAATTTTTGTGGGGGGTCACATGGTTTGCAGAAGGAACGGTGGGGGGATCAGTCGTGGCCAACAGAGTATAAAGGGGGGGGGGACTATAGATACTTGACTGCCAATAAACTACCAATGGGGGGGGACATAAGAATATCATAAAGTCTTGTGGGGGGGAGGGGTGAGAGCGGAGGCGGGTAAATTTTGTCGTGACACAACCAAAATCCTCCGATCCCCTACCCTCCCCTCCCCCCCGACAAATAACTACTGGTCCTCAAAGATGTCAAGTCTTCAAGTTCCTTGAAAGTGTACGTACTATCAATTCTTTGATTGAATTTTCTGTTTCTCATTACGGAGTGCACTCTTCTTCCCTTTTTAGGCACAATGTGCGGCTTAAATCGTCTCGGCTCAAATTTTGCTTCTCAGTAGAGTTTAAGTTAGTCACTTAATACGAGAACGTTTGCAGATTAAGTCAGACACAAACCTGGACGAGGCTCTGAATTATCACTTTCGTTATTAAATTGCAGCAGGCGTCTGGAGTTCCCCATTCTAAACTTTTGACCGTAGCCATCTTCTGCGCGTTTCTTGAGGTTTTTATTGTCTCCACCGGCAAATTCACCATCACTATTTCCCTCGTCTGTTTCCAAAGGAACCAATTTCTCTACGGGTTCGTTGATTTCATCAATGTAGAAGTCATTTGCTCTAAGGAGTCCTTCAGGGGGTCGTGATTTTGATCCATCTCTTCTGGTTTTCCGCTTTTGACGGTCTCTGTAAGCATTTGATAGTCTGGATTTGGTCTTTTTGTTGGTTTTTCCACGAGGAAAGAACTTGTTCTTCTCTTGAGAGAGATCGGTTCCTGTATGAACTTTGACCTTCCGGTGGTTCTGAGTGAGGGTTTTGTCGACTGAAATACTTCCTTTTTTACCCGCCAAGGGTTTGCGTATCTGTTCAATTTTCTTTTCCCCGCCTATAGTGGTCTTAAGTGGTTTTTTTATCTCGTTGTTTTTTCTGCGAGTCTTTTGCTCTTTTCTTTTCGAATCTGGACCCTCACTGCTTTTTTCCAGTTCCAATTTAATCTTGTCCTTCGCGCCTTTTAGACCAACGTTCTTTTCTTTAGAATCTTGATCTTCACCTTTGAATTCTTCGATGTATTCTTCGCCACTGCGCTCGCTTTCTTTGCCATCGTTTTCCTCTTCTGGTATTTCATCACTATCATCCACCTCCGGTAGGTCTCTGGCTCCAGATGAATCTTCCTCGTCTGGAGAGAGAAGGCTTGCCTCTCTTTCCTTCCATTCACTGCTTGTTTGCAAATCACTTCCCTCGTAAATCTCCTCTTTTCCAGATTGTTCAACCCTGTCCCCTTCTCCCGCGATGTTCTTTTTTACGTGGTGGTGTCGTTCCCCAGAACGAGATGCCTCGACATCTCTTTCAGAATTAGTATCATTTTCATCTGTGATGTAACCGAAGTCATCGCCTTCATCCCTGTGTTGATCAAGACGCTTGCCAACTTTCAATTTAGAATCTTCCCGCGAATGAATTTGATGGGTGTGATGATTAATTTCTTGAACATCAGCGTGGCTCTCATCGCCCGAACGACCTTCGCCCTCCCCCTCATCGTCTTCCAAACGACTGCCCGACACCTCAACACGATTCTCCTCATCCCTATTGTTACCCCTGTCATCTTCTATACCACTAGAGTCATGTTCTTCAATTTCCTGGCCTGGCTCCTTAGCATGATGTGTAGCTGATTTCTCCTTTACATGTTGTTCGTGTAGGTGGCGTTGTCGTGCATGCTCAAGAGGGTCATCTGCGTTGTTCGTAAGCTTGTCTTCTCTGTTGAGTCGAGCTTCCTTCCGTGGTATGTCTATCAGGAAGTCTCCATCATTGTGATCTGTTTTACCAAAAGATATGTATGAGCACACATTTCCTGTAAGAATTCATAACTTAGTAACAAAAATAATCATGATCCAGATTTGCATGGCTTTTCTCTTTTGTTCCCTTGGTGATTTGACATGAAAACTCAAGCCACCGGCTTAACTAATCAGATGCAGGACTGAAAGTGATTGCGACTTGGTCATACACGTGTTTTTCCGCGCCCGGCAGAATTTACTCAATTTCTCACAGGCTCTGCGCGAATTTCCTTTTATTTATTCACTTATTTATTTATTTATTTATTTATTTATCTGTGACATTTAGACAGGCTGGCCCAGTTTAGCATCAGAGCTTATTTAAACGAGGGCCTGTACAAACAGTAGTAACTAGAGAGAGTAACCGGGAGCTACATTCCCTCCTCTGTGTGAGGGTGTGCGTGGGTTTTTTAATGTCCTCTTCTGACCAGTAGAGAGATGATACAGGCGACGGGGCGTACAGTTTATCGTCCTTATCCGAGCAAACTAAAACGTCAAACCATTTTCAGATGTCGGGACAGGACAGTTCATTCCCCTCAGTTATTTAACTATCCTAAGGGTTGGTCCGTTTGGGGACTCCAACCCTCGACCTCTACAACACATTTTGATTCAGTTACTTGGTCGGCTGTTTTTATATCACGACTCTCAATCGAAATGCGCTACGATGTTGCCATAATTTGGCCAGTAAATTTGGAGGATGATCGATGCTATGAACTGTGTCTTCCTCGTGGTGATATGCGTTTCGATAAGATATGATTACGAGATACTGATTTCGCCTTTGATAGAGTTTAGAGACAACTAGTTTCGCTCTTACGAAAGGCTAAAGCTCGGAACATCGGCTTTAAAAACTCTTTACGATGGCTAATTTAAATTATCAACTCAGTTGATAAAAGCAAATTATCTCGCAATACCCGTCGCCAACGCTGCACCATAGTTCCAGTTTCTTCAGAAACTTACCCCTTTATAAGTTCTGAACAAATTTGATTTTTGGTGCCTTTTATGATCAGTAAATATTATGACAAAGCCAAGTTCAAGGAACATATTTATATAAACGAAGAAAAAATTATGACAGTTTATTGGGAGCTTCCTAATATGCTAGGTATTATTGTTCAATGATCATAAACAACTTAGGTTTGACTGGAAAGGAGAATGCACTAGTTCCATCGCTTCACGAGTAAATCTAATCCATCTGTCCATGAAACAGATTCGGAAAATATAAAAATACCTAATAGATAAATATATTTCTTGAAAAAATTTCTAACTGATCGTTTTGTGTAAATATAGACTTCTAACTGTGTGATTTTTCGTCAAGAATGGTTATCTCGCAAAAACAGTTTCCTTACATAATCGAAAACCGCAATGGTAACGAGCAGCGATACTTTCAGATTATGTAGTACACTTGCAATCGCAAATTTTCAAAGTTAACCGAGATTAAAATTGATTCTTCAATAACAAAATCTTCCCAGTACTTCACTATCATGTGCTAAGCTTTCATTTTACTTGATTCTGATATTTTTGTAACTAATTAACCGAAACCGGAGGGCACGACAGCTTCAATTTATCAATCAAACTCAAGGAATAACTTGCTATTGTGTTTAAGATTTTTACTGAGTTTGGCAAATCGGAATATTCCATTTAACTTTAGTTTAGAGAAATCGATCAAAATAGACGGGTAACTTTCATCTAAGAAACTGAAATTTTTAACGAAGATAAAACAGAAAGTTAACGTGAGAAATGTCCACAAATATAGCTGAACTGTTTTGAAAAGATGACTTCACCTTAGTTGCTTGACAAGACCGGCTTAACGAAAGCTAAATTTAATTGCTCATTCGCTGTCTTCTCAAAATGTGACAATCAGTGAAACAGAAATTTTATCAAATGCGAAATTTCTATCAATGTTTAAGATATAAGTTTTCTAAAAATCGAGTTATTAAAATGATTTAAAGACAACTTTCTCGCTGTTTAAAAATCAAGTTTAAACTTACCTCGAGTTCTCCGATGTCCTTCACTTTCGATTTGGCTGGGATCCAACAGCACTACAATGATGAAAATTGTTGCGAGTCGTCGTGGAAGAAGCATTTTATGAATAACTGCTTTAAAATTAGTTATCTAAGCCATATTGACAAGATGACTTTCCACCGAAACTGAAAATGTCCGTTTACTTGCGCCAGCGAGACGTCATTCACAGGCTTCCCGCCAGTAACGTCAGCGTTTTTGGAAGGGTGGAGTGGGTAAGCCGAAAATTGTCACCTTCTAAGGAATCGATTTCGGCACTTACTTTATCGTCATATAGATTTTGTTTTTTTATCTTTTCTTCTTGGTGCAACTTTTTTTCATTGCTGAATCTGTGGATTTGCTAGATATTTTTGTCACCACAGTTATCACTTTATTCTGCTAATCTTAAGGTCAGAGTGGGTCAATAGCCCGCATATTCAATCAGGTTTTCAGCCCCGTTCTCTAAGATTTTTACGGCAATTTAACCCTACGATTAGCTCCTTTTTTCTATCGCCGTTGTTTTGAACAACCGATTTCCATACGATTTCTATGCAATTTGGAGAATTAATAGCAGTTGCGCTTTTTACCGCTGGTTCTGTCTTGGTATTTCCACAGTGAGCGTAATACGTCAATGCAGAGCGTTGGATACCTAAAGGTTTGGAGACTCCTACAGTCTTCTAAACATGCACCTCTATTAGCTTTAGAATTACCCAACCCATAGTGCAGTGTTAAACAATTATTGAACGGGCGGAGGGGGCAAAATATCCTTATTTTTTCAATTTTATGATGTGACGCGTTTGTCTTTAATTCGATTACAGAGTTCTAGTTTAATCATGATTTTCGAAAATCTCTTACTGACGGCTTAAAAGAACGAATGAAAGAACAAGGAATCGAAAGGAAAGAACTGTGCAAGAGTAGAATATCATTTCCCATATAACCTGAAAATTTTGTGCGAGTTTTCTTTCGCAGATGGATAATTATTGCATGCTGATTTGATGAGACAGATTTTTGAGGGTCGCAATCAATAAAATTTGTTATGGTAACTAATTTCGAGTTGCGATCTTCTCTCAAAACTGCGGAATTTTCTCGAGAGAAGAACAGAAAATTTTATTTCTGAATTCACTACTTTGTGTTAAATTATTCAAATGGGTGCGTCAAGGTAACTGATTCGTTCTGGCGATTCAACCAAAGTAAATTAATTCACAATCGTTTTCATTTCTCTAGATTTTTTGTGCGGAAAAATGCTTGAAATTTGCTAAATTTTTATGCCACGCAGCACAGTATTACAAGCAGACTATCATGTGCAGAGTCGTTTTCAGGTCACGTGGTGGACTTGCAGTGAATGGAAAGGATTCAGATTTTATGTCCACTTGACATCTCCCGCTGAATTACAAACCGGGAGTCTCTGGTCTGCACATGCGCGGCTTATGGTTTATCATACATGACCAAATTATCTATCGATGGCTCTTTTATGTTCAATTGCCTTTCAAGGTCTGTTTTTGTTATTTCATTTAACTAGCAGGTGGCTGAAGTAGTTTCTTACATTGGTACCAGTCGGTGTTAACTTCTGAAACCAAACCAGGAGTTCATTACCAACGTCGTAAAAAGTAAAAAGATTTTCAAAGAATGTGAATGTTTCATCGATCGCGTCTCTTACTCTGACAGAGGTTACATTCGACGCCACGAGGTAACAAATTGACAACATCAGAATTTTTTTTCTCATTAAAATTTTATTTCTACCCGTAAATTTAATTTAACTCGAAAATCTTTCCTTCAAGAAACCAGAACTAGTGCAAGCCACTCCGTTTTTAAAAAGCACCCATTCTTAATTTTACCAATTAAAATTAAATCGTACAAAAATTAGGCCAAAAGAACCTGTTATTTCTACAAAACTACATAAGTCTGTTAGCAGGTACATATATATATTATTGCTGTGAAAGCAAATGTCTACCTTGTAAAACGAAATGTTTAAACTAATATATTTCCTACGGGTTACACAAGGCGACGGCATTCACAATTTATTCAACTGCTTTCCAGTTCGATAGAAAAAAAGTAATATTTTACATAATACTTGAAAAAAGAGACCCGATTTTTAAATATATATATATTGCATCAATTTGTCAATTCAGGGTGTGGCAGATAGAAAACTAAAACCTCATCAAAATTTACAAATATTCGTAATTCTCTCCCTAAAATGTTGAATATTCTACGCAAAAAATGATAAAACATTTCCAAAAGAGCATCAGAGAAAAAACCGTCTCTAATTTCCAAATGAAACTTCCACTTGTTACACTGGAAGCCTCATACGAAGCTCTCACCATAAAATATTATTTATCATCTTTGCAAAGTTTTTTCAACTCCTACTTTGCTCATCCGAGACCATAAAAATATGTTCCAACGCTGACTTCAGATTGAAGGAGAATTTTGTAAACGTTCTCGATTCCCGCCTGCCCAATGTTTCTTGAGTCTTCACCAGTAACTAAGAATTCGCAAAACCAATAACTATATCCGTGAATTAAGTGGTAGTTAAATTATTACACAACAACAACCTTGTTCCTCTTCCTCAATTTTTTTCTCTTCATCTTTCTTCTCCGGCAAGCAGTCGGAAGTAGCCGGTTTCTCGGGATCTTTTTTCTCGTCTGCTTCCCCTTCGCCTTCTTTGGCCGCATCTTTATCACCTCCTTCACCATCCTGAGCGCCACCTTCGTTTGCATTCTCCTCCGCAGGTTTTTCTCCTCCTTCCTCGGCTGGTGCGGCGGCGTCTTCTGCAGGCTGCTCACCTTCAGCCGGTGCTTCGGCCGGGGTTTCCTCAGCATCTGCCATTCTTAAAATTTGAACTAATAATAAGCACTTCTATGAGCTTGCAAACACTCGACTTTACTCCTCCACGACATATAACGTTGTTTATAACCAAACAACCTCTCTATGCTTTCAACTGGCCACGCGCGAAATGATATAAAATATTTACAACGCGTTCAATTAGCTGGTTCCTATGGTGATGCTTGTCAACCCTCAAAAAATGACAGCCCGTTCAGGCTGTCGACCAATAAGATTGCGATATTTAGCTTTTTGCATGGGGTTTATATCGTTCCACCTGCTCTTTCTCTCTGCATAAGATTATAAAATGTTGGCGCGCGAACGCAAGCTTACAATATCAAACTGTTGATTTACCTTTTGTAGCCAGTTTTTTCCTAAACATTACACTTAGCAGGTCTTTCTATACCAGCTCTGAGTGGCGTGAAAATAGCAAAGGAAGGTAACCGTTAAATTTGTGAGTTGGTTTTTTTTTCGGGGTTGCAAGACAAAATATTTTGTCGTCTTCTAACGCTATCGCGTCACTAACATCACAAAACAAACCCCTGCTATGTAAACCTGTTGCATTTTCCCGAGAATTCCGTCCCCACCCAATTTGAGGCGAACACAAAGCGAAATCACGATCAAATCGAAAAACTGGTTAAAATAAACAGCTTTTTAAAGGCTCCATATGAAGAAAACCATTTATCTAACGATAAAAATTCAACGATTTTGGGAAACAAGACGTGACTTTCCTTAACTAAAACGTTCCTTAAAATACTCCTTCTAGGTAAATCTCAGTTCAACATTAAGTCTTTTTTGTAGTGTTGTAGATGTTGTTACTTCAACACTTGATTTTACCAGCTGTTAACGAGTTATGTCAAGTATTCTCGATTGCATGCGGTCAAGTGTTAAGTAAATAGTTTCATTTCGGCGGAGTATTTTCTTTTCACAATTATAACGTCCTAATCACGTGTTTCCCATATGCTTTCTAAGACGTAATGCTGTACCAGTACATTAGCCGTCGCATGCACCTCACTAGCGCTTTGGTCTGCGTGCAATCCGTATAGGCCTGAGGCTGAGCCTCGTTTCTGGGTTGTCATTGCGATAAAATTCTTTTTGGATTAGTGTAGGTCATTAGGATACAACCGGTCACTTAACCACCCAATCCAGCAAATCTAGCTCCCAGATTTACCCATACACGAATGAATATCAAAATAAATTACTGCATACAATCTTAAGCCATACATAGCGATTTTACGCGCCTTTGTACCAGGATCTGGACATAAAAACACCTGCTCTTATCCTATCATTGGTAAGATCGTGTTCCCTTTAGCTTTAACGGTCGAGCAAAACTTATGGAATTCCACCGAAGGAAAAGCGATAAATCTCGCTCAAAAGATCCCTATTTTCTTTGTCGTAAAACGTTTCGTAGTGGATTAGAACTTCGCCAAGATCTATATCTGAGCATGCGTAAACTTTCGAATTTGTCGCGTATTGGTAATCTTTCCCACGGAGTTTACTTTTCGGTTGACCTAGTCGACCTCTTTATGAGATGTAGAAGGCCTATGAATATTGCAGGTGTAGTTGATAGTAGCCCTAGATTCCATCACACAAAGACTGCATTGTGTTAAACTGTTTTTAGCACACCTTTTTTGATAACAATCGTGCGATCGTATCGAGCCGCCATGTTTGTTTTCCATGTTGGCACTTTTGAAACTCGCGCCTTGTTCGTACCCAGATCTCGCGCGGTCTAGAAACCCCATGGAGCCTCCCAAAATAGAGCTCAGAATAAAATTATTATTTGTCTTGGAACTATGGAAGCAAGGGGCATCTAATTATTCTAATGACCATTTTTTGCTTAGTTTCACGGTAGAAAAGATTCTTTCACACTGGTTTAATTTATTTTGCTTTAAGCAATGAAACTAGAATCCTTTGAGTGAACCATACGCCACTCATTCACGGGAAAAATTCTGTGCCTTTCGTCTGGTCGCCTTCGCACCATCTTCGTCACCGATCTTTTCAAGGCATTTTGCCAGCCAGTGGTAGCCAAATGCTTTGTCAGGCCTCATCAGGATGAGCTGAAAATCAATTCAAACGGAAAACTTGTTCATGTCAATGGATTTATTCGTTGATTGTTTGTGAGAAGAGGGAATAGAAAAGCTAACTAAACAAAGTTTCCTTCAAGTGTCTTGTTTACCTTTTTGTAATAGACTGCTGCCTTTTGATAATCACTCTGAAAAATGAGAGCAGAAAAATTGCTCAGATCAATGTTAGTATCTAAGCAACTGCGCACCTACCCCTCCCCTAAGCTAACATTAACTCTAACTTGTTATTAGCTGACTGTTGTTGGGTCAGGGGAGGGGTAGGTGTGCAGATTCTCAGATAACGACATTGGTCCAGATAGGACAATATAAGCGTTAAGTAGCAAGACGTAGTATAATCAACAATTTTGAATCGTATTTGATTCATGTTGCAAAACCAGCCAAAATGAAAAGGTTGCTGTTTCACGGCAGGAAAAAGAGAGAAAAAATGACGCAACTAATGTATTGGAATGCTTACATTGAAATACCTCTTTTTGGGGGAAAGGGATTGATACGTAGATTGACTTTTCTCTGATGCAGCTCGTAAATGGGAGTTGCCTAAGGGGCTTATATAACAGGACGAAAGTCTTTGCTACAAATAATGAGCTTACAATTGAGGCGAAGAGGGACTAGGGTTAACCGTAGGAGTAAATCATCGAGGCTATCCCCAGGGGTAAGCTTTGAGTGTTAACCCTTAGGGGTAACCCCCAGCAGTTAGGTCTAACCTTGAACTGAGAAGTTATAGTTGCTTGTTTTATTCCTAGAAAAACAAGTTGCACGATCATTGTACCTTTTCATAAAGAAACTCTCCATAGTGAATATGTCCATCAAAACTGTCAGGGTGAACTTCAAGGGCTTCTTGAAATAGCTGGTCAGCCTTTTCTGTATTACCATCTTGATCGTAATACCTGGCAAGGTCGAGTTTAGCGATTACGAAAAAGGGATCCCTTTGCACAGCTCTCTTTAGGGTCTGTGGGGAAAGAGATAAGGGGAATCTTAATAGAATTGTCGTGAGTAGGCAATATGAGGTAAATAATTTTTTTCTGATTGAATACCTGAGCGAACAAGGCGGCGATATCCTTTATTTAAGAACCACTCTTGATCTTTTTCTTGGGTGTCGATTCAAATTAGTTATATCTCTTAGTTGGTGCGTGCGTCATGATTTGTCACTTAGCGGGCCATATTTCACCGTACAGACCGCTAAATTCAACCTCAGTTTTTTCGTAACTCAACGTACGCACCTCGAACTCGGTTAGCAAAAGGTATGTATGGCACGGAAGAACTAAATCGCTTCAAAATAGGCCACTGTACTCTTTATTATGAATATTTGAGTGACACTTGTCTTTAACCTTTTTCTTATCAGCGCCGTTAATTCTCAGCACGAACTACACGTCCCACGCTTTCACTGCTTGACAAATGCAGTTTCTGGTTTGGGCACAAGCAATTGTGATCGTCCCATTTCAACTAAAGCACGAATACCATCCTTAATCTAAAAGTGTATTCTACCAGATACTACAAACCTTGATCGCCTGTTGAAAATTTCCAGCTGTGAAGTATTGGTGAGCAAGTTTATGAAGGACTTCGGTGCTCTCTGTATGAAAAACAACTCTATCTTTGAAATCGGCTTGAAAAGGAGCTAACTAACGTGTGCTTCAAATACCTGGTAACAGATCTGATAACTCCTTTAAAATTTCAAGGTCTTCTTCTCTTCTTTTTCCCACTGTTAAGGACAAAAATGGCAATAAAACAATAAAATTTATTCAAAACGACAAAATAGCCACTGAGCTGGATCAGCTAACACACAACTAATTACTCAACAATTTTCTCTTAGAGACGTTAACAGTGGAAGAAATACAACTTCACAATGAAGGATTAGATAGTTGAAAGAAAGCTTATGCATTTGCGTTCGTTCTTATAATCCATGAAAATATGTTGAAATTGTTGTGCAAAGAGTTCCAGGCAGTGGGGTCAACGTTTCGGATCATGATGATGCCATTGACCGCAGTCTCAGGTCAAAGTATGGCGTACAATGTTATCGATAGTAATTTCGCATTAAAATGGTTGCGCGTGATTTTACAGGCACTGAACTCACGTTAGAACTGTTAAGTGTATTATTAAACGCAGTAGAGTTATATTAAAACTGTAGCGCTTAGTGTTACAGTTGATACATATGGGTTAGAACTGTTGCGCATGTTACAGACGATGAGCATACTCTAAAATTCCCCACACACCACTGATGCAACAGATATACAACAATAATCTCATACCCAGATCCTACCGCGTAACTGTAACTGAAATGTAGGAATCTGACGACCGCTTGGCCGTGGAAGGTCTGGGCGCGGGACATGACATACAACATATGATACAGTTGCAGCACTGCTTGTTGACTCGCAAATTAAAAGAAACAGATTAATGTCTGTATCTGAGCAACAGCTTACCTGCCCCTCCCCTAACCCATCATATACCCTAATTAGTTATCCCTTGACTGTTGCTGGGTTAGGGGAAGGGTTAAGTGCGCAGTTGATCGTATACTGACATTGATCCTTACATGTAATACGTACATTTATAAAACAGCTTCTCTATTTTTGTAGCAGCGTTGTATTTTTGAATTCCAATGGCCATTGTGTCGCCTATATTCACTGTGCCGTGGTAATATGATTCGGGCTGCAAGAGAGGAAAAGGTGGTAATTTTAGAAAATTGTCTGGCAAGCAAATAGATATCGAGCAGCCTTTTAGCTGTGAGTAATAAAAGTCATTGGAGAAATAAAATAACGTTTGCGCCCCTCGTAGAACTCTGGGAGACGCCTTAATCCCAGAGCAGGGATTGCTCGTAGTTAAGTAACCAGAGGATGAGAGGTCACAAATTTAGTTAAAAGTTATAAAGCGTATACATTCGATTGAAGATGGTGATAGACATTTAAAAAGGAGAGATATTTAACTTACCAAGTAGAGAATTTCGCCCTCCTCTTGAACGCACTCAAGTGGTTTGTCTTTTGGTGGCAAGTTAGGATAAACTTTTTTGATCCAATCCAGTTGAGAAAAACTCGGCCAAACACCTAAAGCAGCAATAACATTTCTTCTGAATCGAGGAAAGTACGACGCCAACTACTCCTTGTGCGAGAGTTTGAAAAGAACTTAGAAACAAAATCAAATGGGAGTAAACTGTTGAACTGAGGGAATTCTGATCTTAGATATTTATTTGTGATGGGGCTCCGCTAGGGAGCTATTGAGCAGAGTGAAGCGAACTCCCACGAATAACCAAAACAAAATTTCTCCTTTTAACATCAATGAAATATCAGCAGACAAGTGATGAATATAAAGAAAAATGTCAATCAAGGGATCGTTGGCTGATCCAATACCAAATTCTCCATACTAATAACACGAGAACTGTATTGCAGATAGTAAAGAGAATTACTAATGAGATCTTGGGAGGAAAAGGGTTGACTGGAGCTTTGGGGTGAGACCCGTGTGGTCTGCGCATGCATAAGGTTTTACCTTCATCTTTACTTACCGCCTGGTGGCGTTTTTTGAGGTGGATATAGGAACCAACGTTTTCGTCCAAAAATAACTCCATTCCATGCATCAGCATGTTTATGAAAACTGACTCCAGAACCAGATCCGCCAAGGAAAAATATACTGGAATCCACACCATCCTACAAAAGGAATTTACTTCAAAACAGCTATTTCTATGTTTACAGAGATCTGTCTCTAAGAAGCCCGTTACATTTTTAAAGCACTTTCTTCAAGGGACACTATGGCACGGCAGTATATCTCTCAGTATTTTATTTTCAGTAGCAGGGGAGGGATGACACAAATATGAATAGTGCACGAGGAGGACTGAGGGGAGAGAACAAAAGCTACACTTTGTGGGGTAGCCAGTGGTTTCGCCTATCACAGATTCGCCCCACCACAGCAAGTTCGCACCGACACGGCAGGTGTGCCCCATTACAGCAAGTTCGCCCCCTCCCCAAAAAAAGAGCTTTACACCCACTAGCTTCATACCTTTTAAAATTCATTTTCTTGTAACCTGAAAAAATGACAACAATTTCGTTCCTGGAAACCCTATTCTTCGCTTCCTTTCGTCAAAAACGTTAAAAGTTTTCTGATTACCTTTATGTTGAAATACAGTGGCACTCTGATACTCCGTGGTAGATCACTATCGTTATAAAAACGTCTGTCGAAGACGTACCTAACAGTGGGTAAAAATGGGATGAAGAGTGCTAAATCATGATAATATGCAGTGATTGCACTGAAACCCAATGACCCTCTGATTCCTGAAAAAACAGAATTGACCCTACATCCCCACAAGAGTCCTCCTCAATCAATCCACCAAATCTAACAATCAGTCGGCAGGTCGGCCATATTTGATAAGATGCATGCTACACCCAGATTCACGAGGCCATGTAAACGCCACGACATTTGAATATCGTATTCCGATGTAACTTTTCCTTAAGTTTCCACGATTAAATGTATCCAGGATTCAAAATGAAAGAAAACTGCGTAACTTGACACATGTTAGGTGAACTATACAAAAATAATTAAATTAATATTAATTTAATATATAATGTTAATATTAAGTTCTGTCTGACGAGCGCTTAGGCGCGAAACTCAGAGTCACGGAGAATCGATGCGTCCTCTTAAATTCTTTAACTTATGTATACCTAGCTCTTCTACCACAGCATTGAGCATTTTATGCCAAGGTAGACTCTACCCCCACATATTTATTAATATTAATATTATCAATTATTAATAGTAAAGAAGTTAGTCGTCAACATCAGACTCTACCCCCACATATTTATTAATATTAATATTATCAATTATTAATAGTAAAGAAGTTAGTCGTCAACATCATACTCTTCTGAATTAGAGACTGGTCATTATTTATGACGAGGGGGGGAGGGGTGTGGGGATTTTGGTTGTGCCACGAGAAAATTTAAATGATCCCTCCTCAAGGCCTTGTAGTATTCTTCTGATCCCCATCATTAGCATACAAAGTCTTACAGATGACTGATCCCCCCTCGTCTCCCTGAAAACCAAGTAATCCCCCCCTCCAAAAACATTCTCCGACCCCACCCCCCACCCCCCACGCTTCCCAGGGGTTAAAATAATAACTGCTTCCACACTTACATGGGTTCGTCGTTATGTTTCTTTCTATGCATTATCTCTAAATATTCATCAAAGGACGTCTCTGTGTCTCCATTCCCTCCTCTTCGTACTATGTCCTCTGATGTTCCGCTCAGAATAGACCATTGACTATAAAACTTCCGCAAACTGGCTTTTGTCCATTTCATTGGATCTGTCCAATCAGCTGCACCGTTGTTAAAATGCACAATTAAGGGTTTCCTATACCTGTAAACTTGTTCAAACTCTTCAGAAGTCAAACTTGATGCATTCCTTCTTTCAATCGTGCAGAAATTCGTGTTGAATTTTTTTTCCTCCTCGACGCTCGCGCGTTGCCATCCACTGACTTCCGCTGAGAGGGGATAGGTTGAATGACTGTTGATTGATGGCTTGATAGGTGGAGGTTGATTAATGACGTAGAAGATGGCAACGCATGCGACAGGGAGTATCAAAGTGGCAGTTACCATATATGGTGAGCTTGCAACATTGTTATGTTGGCCTTGATTTTGATTGGCTCGTCCAGTTTCTCCGTTTTTATCACCAGTAGATTTCGTTGGCTTTGTTTTCCTTGAATTTCTCATCTTTGGAACCTGGAGCTGGATTTTCCCATTCATTAAGCGTAAATGAGTAAGAAATTGGACTGCAAAAGAGAGTTTATACCAAGAAGAAGTCGGTAAAGCAAGTGATTTCAGTTTGTCAAATCATTTTGTTAAAACAGGCCGGAATACTTTACATCATTGACGGCGTCAAGAACAGCTTTTGTATTCATAGCTTTTTCAATTTATCACCGAAAATGTTTTCATCTAAAAAAGTGTAGACAAAGAAAACATTGGTTATTTATCTGGGATTAAAACTTTAATGCGAATTAAGGGGGTTAGTTTCATAAGAATCTGTGGTCCTGTGTCGGTGCAGCTCGATTACAAAATAATTTAATTTTATCAACTGCATGAATCGGCTCTTTACGGTGTCCAATTTACCTTAGCAGTTGATGTAATGCGAATTGTCACTTTCCACCTGGGCTACTGTTAAAATTCCTAAATCATTGCGATTAAATTGCGATAGGCGCCAAACGTAGCCTAATTTTCACACACTTTTTTTTTTATTTAAATACCTCCTGAACAAACACTTTAATTTAAACCAAATTTACATTTGGACATTGCGTACAACAACAATAAATAAAAAAAGCGAGCTTGACTTTGACAACAAAATAAGTAACCCAAAACCTCAGTGAAACGTAAAACGAACCTTTTTACATCCGATATGACTTGAACGCTTACATAAACATTTTTACTTTTAAATAATGAATATTTCTCCTCCATTGTTTTCATATGAAGCCTTTTTCGTGAAAACAGTGTCCTTAAGCAGGCTTTCTTAAAAGGTCGAACCGTGAATTTTGGCAGAATCAAGGCAGTTTGAAATGAGGTTCGCGGAATTTCAACCAAGACTTCTTTTCCTTTTTTCGATGAGAAGACGTAACTGGTTACTTTACTTAACGAAAGAGTTTAAAAAAAAAGAAAAAAAAAACCAGCTCATTGATACGATACTGATCTGGAATACGGTCTGATGAACGAGGCTTACGACAATCGCTTGAAGCGCACAATCTCTTACCTTTACGATTTAATTCCAAAGACTGAAACCTTTGCTATATTTTGGAGGAAAAGAAAAGACCTTTCAATTTATGATGCCCTAGGCTTTGCATGCTTATCGTAACAAACATAATCAACAGATCAATTCGTAATATTCAATTATTAACCAACCAGCCATGAAAATGTACCACTATATTTGTCTTGAGCTTTCAAATTCGTGTGATTTTTTTTTCATCCGCTTGAGATCAGTTTTCCTCGAAGATTTACAAAGGCTCTTTGGAGTGAGTTATGGTGTCAACTTTCAGCCTCTACGTTAAGTCTAACTGTAAATAGGACAATAGATCAGATGATATGGAATTATAAAGGATAAAAATTCCACACGACTCCTCTCAAAACCCAGGAAACCAAATTCATTTTTTATGATATTATGTTGGTTACACGGTCCGACACCTTTTTACGACACTTGACTGAACACAAGAATTCGTCAATCGGCGAACATCTCACTACAGCGCACGGTAGTTGCGATCTTAATAAATGTCATCTTAAGATTCTCAAGAAATGTCAATTAAGGCTTGATAAATACTTTTTTAAAAAAAGAAAAACAAACCGAAAATTGAATGTGTAAGCGGACTCCATAGGTGCAAAACGTTTCGTTAAATTTATGCTATTTATTGTTATGAAACGTTTTCAATCAGTACCTATTGTTATTTTTAGTATTTATAGCCTTGTAAGCTCATCGATTTTTTGACCTGATAATGACGCTATGTTAACGTTCAAACGTCGTCAACTAACTTTTTTTATCCCTGTTTAAACTGTATTATTGTGGTTTTATAGGCATTTATCGAATTTTTTGGTATTTGAACCAAATTTCATGCTGTGAAAAAACCGATAATTAAAAATTTCAATTGCCACGATGAAAAAGATCTTTAATCGCGTCGCAGCCAACTCTTACAATCCTCACCAGGACCTGCGTCATTTGATGAAACGTCAGTCTTTATTCACTCGCCGTGATTAAAGTGAAAAAGGGGACCTTTTGGGTTCATTGTAGAATTTCTTTTTGTTCGCCGCTACCATATTGCATTTGGAAGTAACTGAATGACTTCCATTAACTAATATTGAGTACGTATTGGCAATGAATATATATTCTTAACTTCTTTCATTTTCGACGTGAACAAGAGCACGCAATTAGTTCCTCGAGAAACCGCTGTGTTGTTCCTGTCTTCCAGCGGAATCCGTCGCGCGAATCTTAAGTGAACGCGGTACCGCGTGAACTCTGGGAATCGAGGCGCACGTGGACACAAAGGGAGTGTTTGGAATCTACTTTCATGCAAGCGAGGAAAAGGATTCAAAATGTCGTCAATAAACACCAAAATAGCCGCGCA